TTAGTCCAGAGCCCAGCAGCTTGCGGCAGAAAAGTGAATGGACCATGTGTTAAACCACAGCACTATGCCTCCCCAGGAGGGAAAGGGTGTTGCTTCCTTCACGCCCTACCGAGGTCACGAGTTGCCCCCCATGCGCAGCTCTCTGGCACAGCCATAACACCAGGCACACAGAAACCAATCTTATAATTTTCTGGCTCTTTGCAGAAATCCAAAATCGCGAGGCCGCTATTGTGGCCACTCGAGATTATAGGATTCTCATAACCAGCTATAGAAACAAAGTATTCCACAATGCCTTTTCAGCAATTCTGATTGTTGCGGGAGAAATTCTAAACAATAATGGTGCATCTTTTGTCGAAATAATGAATGTAATCAATGTAGAGAAGATATAAGTGGAAATCATCTGCCTCACTGGCATTGGGGGGGATGGGGGGCATATTGGGGATTTTAGTGGTGAAAAAGGAGTACTGGTGAAGGGAGAGGTGCTTAATCATTGTGTGACCAAGACTTAAACCTTGGTCATTGAAAGCTTAGTAACTTTTCCCACAGTGATTCAATAAATAAATAGAAGACAAAAATAAATAAATAAATAAATAAAATTATGAAAAAAAAAAGTAAGGTGGAGATCATGCCCAATTCAATCAGCTAATCAGTGGCTGAACAAATAGCAGTATTCCTACATTTAAAAAAAGCTTTTCTTCCTTCAATTTCAGTAGACACTGCAAATAAAACCATAAGTCAGTACTCTATGTGGAAATTTTAGGCTACTGATTTCTTTCATACTATTACCTTAATATGTAATTTCTTCTTGAGTAAATAAGCAGTGAAATTTTCATTTTGTCTGAAGTTTCCAATTACCTACTATAAAATTTTGATCACAATCTTGACTTATCTTTTAAAAGTCTATAATATTTATAAAATATTAAGTATTTGTGTCTTTTCTATTCTTTTCTTCATCAGTTTCCAAAGTTTTGTAAGTTCAATTAGGCCTTTTAAATAATTAATCTTGCTTTTATTAAGCCTCTCTATTATATGTCTCCCAGTAATTTTGTTAACTTTTGCTCCCTCTTATCTCCTCCTATTTTACACATTTTTAAAAAGTTTTAGTATCACACATGGTGATGCTCAAGGTCTACTCCTTGCTCTTCACTCGAGAATTACTCCCTGAAGTGCTCAGGGTACCATATGGGATGCCGGGGATCAAACCCTGTTGGCCACATGCAAAGTAAATGCCCTACCTGCTGTACTATCTCGCCAGTTCTCTTCCTATTTTACTGAATCTATTGGCTTACTATCTTTTTAATATGTACCAAATTTAAATTTATTTATTTTTAATTAAGACTCCATGATTTACAAAGTTGTTCATAATAGAGTTGTTTCAGGCATACAATGCTGCTACACCAGTCCCATCACTAGTGACCCCAGGGTCCCTGCCAATTCCCCCATCTGCCCCTTTGGCAGGCATATAACAAATTTATTTTCTTTGCTAACTCCAACAAAATTTAAAGAAATGGCAATGGAATTATCCAAAGATAAATAAACAAAAGTCAATTTTTAATGATTAATTGCTATATTATTTTAACCTATGTATAAGAAAATTTAAATCATTTGATACAATATAGTATACTGCCTATTCTTATTTACATAACTAAATTTTCAACTCTGGCATCTAAAACATATTGCATTAAATTTTATTTTGCACTTGAGCCTTATTCTTTATTGCAGTAATCATCGTATTTTCCCTGTCAAAAATGAGGATTCTTCCCCCAACCCCACATTGGTAGGCATATAACAAATTTATTACATATCACTTGGTCCCAAAGAAGTGATATGCTATTATATTTAATTTATATTCTTTTATGTATGGGCTGGAGCGATAGCACAGCGGGTAGGGTGTTTGGCCTTGCACGCAGCCAATATGGCCGACCTGAGTTCGATTCCTCAGCCCCTCTCAGAGAGCCTGGCAAACTAGCTAGAGTATCTGACCCTCACGGCAAAGCCTGGCAAGGTACCCGTGATGTATTCGATATGCCAAACACAGTAACAAGTCTCACAATGTTAATGGGCCTGCTCGAGCAAAATCAATGAACAATGGGAGGGCAGTGACAGTGACAGTGATACTATGTATATATTTATAAATATATTTAAGTTATAATATTTTATTAAATTTATTATTTATATACTTTTGCTTAAAAGAAGAGCAAATATAATTATTAGAAAATAAATCAGGCCACAGAATCTTCTGACCCTGTGCAAGACTGTCTTTATTAGTGCACCTCAGAGGAGGACGGGTTGAGTCACCCTCCCCGCCCCAAGCAGAGCCCCAGCAGCCAAAACCCTCCAGAACCCAACCACCACCATGCTCTTATATTATGTATGGGCTGGAGCATCCAAGGCCACTCTCCACATGTCGAGTGTCGAACACCCATGGAAGTGTTGGAATCTGAGAATTGTCTGAGGCTGCTGGTTGTACTTGTTCCACACAACAGAAATTCTGGCTCTTAGCCTTAATTCCTATCAGACTACTCTGACACAGTGCACCTGGCTTCCCACTCTGTGGGCTCCCAACTCCCCAGCTGAACTCTGACACCACATACCTGGACGGACCCTTATGGGAACATCCTCCTCATCCAAAAAGGGCATCTATTCTCTGAGTTGGGTTTCCCCTATTTCATTGATAGGAGATAAGAAAGGAACTTGAAGAACTCAATAAACCCAAAATTTCTACCAACACATGAATGGGTAAATTGTGACAAATACAGACCATGAAATGTTAGGGTGAACTTGCGATATATTTCAACTTGGATAGACCAGTTTATGTTGAGTGAATAAACCCAGTCACAATAGCTCACATATGAAATGATTTTTTTTATATACAAAAAGGACAATATACTCAGAAACATTTTGGGTATTCCAGGGACTGGAAGGGAATGGAGTAACAATGTAAAGTACAATTTCTCCTAGGTATGTTATTACTTTGGGTGTTGTCATAGATGGAATTGTTTCCTTCAGCTAGTTCAGTGCTAATGTATAAAAACCAAAGCAATCCCACACCCTCCAATGTGTTGAATTTATTTCTTATCTCCAGTGATTTTTTTTACTTCGATAACGTTGATTTACATCATAGGTCATGCTTCAAGAGCCCTTTTTCACAAGCTGTCACACCACCCTAGCATCAAGGCTGCAGATCCTTCCACCACCATCCACTGGATTCCCTCCAACGTTTTTGCCCCAAAACTTACCCCGTGGCAATCTATGTTCTAAAATGTAAATCCAAGGACTGGTTTAGATTCAAATTTGTATTTTTACCTTAGGGGCATATTTTATCTCCCATATAGGAGCAAAATATATTAAAACAGTATTTCTGTTTCTGTTTCAGACTTATTTCACTTGTCATTGGATCCTATCTAGTTCCATTCACTTTGTCCCAAAGGATGCAAAATTATCTTTTAAATAATGTAGTACTATTCCACTGAGCATATATATTAGTCTCTTAATTTAACAATGTCTTGCTTATGCTTACAATAGTGTAGCCTATGCTTTTCTAGTTTCCATATGCTTCTGTGAATAAGGGAATAACTTTATGAATTAGAGTTTGCATTTGCTCGTAGTCATGGCCTTTGTGTAGTATTGCTGCATCATATGGAATTTTCTTTTTATTATTTGATGTACTGTTTACATCCTAAACAACTCTGTATCAGAGTTTCTTTTTGAGAACATGTGGAAAATCCTAAGTTGCAGGCTAAATCAAGGTAAAAAAAATTATTGAAAAAATTAGAATCACACGTACTTAAAACATACTATGCTAAATGTCTGGTAGCAGGGATAATTAACTGACATTTTTACTTTGTGATAATCAAAAATGTGCTTTTATTTATTTTAAATGCCTACTACTAAGTTCAAAAAGATAAAGATTTGAAAAATATGCTTTGTCTGATAAGGATATTGGTATTAAAATGATGTATATCAAAACATGGCATTTCTCATAGATATGAAGTGAATGTAAAGATGGCAATATTAATTATCATAATTAACCAATTTATATTAAGTTATTCTTAGACCAATACTGGGCTTGAACTGTTTAGAGACAATGTACCTCCATATCCATTATCAACATAATGGATATGAACCTACTCAGTGCCAGGACGGCTGAATAAGAAATGTGAGGAAAGGATAGACCAGTTCTGGGTATTAGGTGGCCTATCATACATCTACACTTCACATATATAAGAAGTTTAAGAATCAGAACTTTTCTTGAAATCAAACTCTGCATCAAAGGAGAGGCCTGGCTAAAGTTCTCTGGATGAAACATTAGTATCACATATTTCCCAAATTGACAAAAGCATTAAGCTGAGAGGTGATATTCTGTCACTCTTGGCATTTATATATTTTAAAAAATTGTTAAAATTTCCAAGAAAGGAAGCCATGATGGTGAATGAATCTCTTTCTGGGTCCATGTCTGCTCCATCTGTCACGAGGTTCCTTCCATTCTAGACATGAGCTGGGTTGAGCTCATGTCGGCTGTCTCTCACCGTGGTTCTTTCTTTCTACATCTGGTCACTGAGGTTTCTTCTTCGTTCCCCACAACATCAGCTTTCAAAGGGAAGGATGCATCTGCAGTGCATTGCATCAGTCATAGCACAGATAAGAACATAGACACACAGCTTTCAAAGACTTTAAGTCTATGGACTTGGCAACATGATGATAAAGAAGTGTGAACACGTTTCTGGGATACAATAATTCTGGGATGAATACCTCTTGTTGCATGCCCCCACTAATTTATTTGGATTCCTTCCTGGGCTGGAACAAGTGCTCTGAGGCTCTACTTTGACTACTACTATCGTATGCATTGAACTCTCCCACAGCTACCTAGGAAATGTCGTCAGCATTGAGGTGGGGAGAATGTATAAAACTATAAAAGGAATCAGGTCCTTTTATAACACCTGAGCAAAGCCATACAACTTTTCTCTCCTAGGTTAGAAAGAGACCATAGAGGAAGCACAATGCTGCTAACTGAACACCCTCCTGGGAAGATGCTCCTGCTTTTTCTGTTGAGCTTTGCGCTGCCCCCCAGGGCAGAGACAGGTGAGTGACCCTCCCGTGCTCAATGCCTAACCTGCTCACTAGGGATGCTCCTGCTTCTTCTGAATCTGACTCTCCATTGTCTACTGGAACATTCTGTACCCACATTCCAGGCCACATGAGTCCCTCAAAAATTATGATGGATTTAAAGAAAGAAAAAAACAGTTGGAGGCACAACTCAAAAAGAGTTGGTGGGCACTACTGTCCTGGTACCTGAAGAGAGACAGGGCTGTTCAGGGATACCTCTGGAACAGACACCGGGGTGCACGGGAGGTGGGGGTACGAGAGGAGTTGAGACATAACAGACCCCATAGTGGGTGGCATTGCTGTCCCCAAAGGTCTGCTGCTTCCTGGTTCTGTAGCTATGCCCCTCAATGCCTCTCACTAACTCTGCTATCCTTGCAGGCACTGAGCAGTGCCCCTTGTCGAAGATGGACAAGTTTAACAAATCCAGTTCTTCTTTTTCCTGAATCCCACCCACAGATATCTCCAACCTTTCGCAAGTTCCATTGAGGTCATGCCTACAGGAACCCCCACTAACAGAATACCAACTGTGGTCACATCAGGAATAAGCTGAACCAGACTCAGCCACTGACCTCATTCTTCCTCTAGAAAGATGTTTCTGCTGGACATCACAAAATCAGAGATCACAGAATCTAGCCAGGAGAGCAATGTCAGGAGCCCCCAGACTTCCTAGTCCCTAAAACAGACATCTCCCTCCCATTTTTTGTGAACGAACTCACTGGCAGAGCTGCTGCTCATCCCCTTGGTGTGTGTTTGGGGCCTGGGTGGAAAGGAATATGAAGCTCTCCCTGCCAAGAAAAGCTCTGAACCACAGACCGCCCCGCTGCCCTGAAACTTCACTGAAGGCAGCAGGGCCACTGAGGGCGCACACATACACACACACACACACACACGCACGCACGCACGCACGCACATACATGCACACATATAACTGACCTTTCTTCAGGAGATATCATTGGGGGACATGAGACGAAACCGCACTCCCGACCCTACATGGCATATCTGAAGATCTATGGTCAGGAGTCTAAAAGTTGTGGCGGGTTCCTGATCCAAGAGGACGTGGTGATGACGGCCGCTCACTGTAATGGCAGGTGAGGAGACACACAGCGCAGTCCCCTCAGGGCCCTGGATGGGGACCCCTGCTTCTGCCAAGACACTCCACAGCTCCAGAGACAGTGAGCAAGGAGAGTCCTCATGGGGAAAAATGGGCAAATTTCTGGGGACAGGGACAATCTGGTGCAGAGGATGCAGGGATTCTTTCCTGCCTACACGTTAGGATCCAGAGGCAAAAAATGCCATTTCATGTTATGCTGGTTCCACCCACCCCTGGGAATCATGAGTACAGGAACCATTTAGTTCCAACAAACCCCTCAGCTGCTGAGAATCAGAGCTCCCAACGTAGTCCTCTGCCCCTTAAGGTCCTTACACCGACTCTCTGTTACAAACCCACTTGTTGAGCTATGTTTCTCGGACCATGCATCCTGTGTGCTCTTTGTGCAGAAAAATTGAGGTGATCCTGGGTACCAATAACATTGGAAAAAGAAGAAATTGGCTCATGAAGATCTCTGTGAATGCAACTTTCCCTCATCAGGGCTATAATAAAGATACTTTCTCCAATGATATTATGTTGCTGAAGGTAATAAAGTGCTGAAACTGACTTAGTCTTAATCCATTTACCACCCTCCCAACCCCCACTGACATCTGTGCCCCTCCTGCTATCCAGTGCCTGTCATTTCTAGTGACTGACGAAGACTAAGACATGCACCCCTTGTGGGGGTTCAGGGACAGGAGCTATAGAGTGTGTTAACCTACTCTGTCTCTCTCTGTCCTCACAGCTGCGTGAAAAGGTCAAATTGACAAAAAAAATTAATCTCCTGAGCCTTCCAGATCCACTAACCCACCTAGAGCCAGGACAGTTGTGCAGTGTGGCTGGCTGGGGACAAACCACATTTAAAGGAAAGACATCTGACAAACTGATGGAGGTGGAGCTGAAAATACAAAAGGAAGAGAAGTGCAAAAGAATCTACAACAATTACAACTCTAAGACTCAACTGTGTGCAGGAGACAAGAAAGGAGGGAATATCATGAAGGTGAGATCCAGTCACTTCCAATCTTGACTCTGGAGACAGGGCAGATTGGGGAGCAGTGGAGGCCTTCCCACTGAGTTTGGGACCCCTCATCCTCTGGGGTGATTTTCTCTAGCAGGAAAAAAGATTCTCCTGGTGAGGAAGAGCCAGAAATCTATTAGCCTTCAAAGGCATTTAGGGATGGCACAAGGGGTCTCCAAGAGAGAATTCCACAATCTCAGCACAGGCTGGGTGGTATGTCCGTCATGATTTGGTAACTCTGACAAGTGGGTGTCAGAGTTAGTCCCACCAGGTTATTGTCTGATGCCCCCACAGAGAGTGAAACCCACTGATTGTTCCCAAAACCAGCAAGAAATGGCCTTGGTCCTGGGAGGGGCAAAGGAAGCAGGATTCAGGGGTGAGGTGCCCTGACAATGTCCAGAGTCAGCCCCTGACAGTTGGGACCTGGCCTGCCTGCTTTTGCCTGGGGCAGGGAGACACAAACCAATCCTTCCCTCACCTCCACAGGGAGACTACGGGGATCCTCTCGTGTGTGACAACGTAGCTCAGGGCATCATGACCTTTAGAGATAAAAATGGAATTTTTCCTGGCATCTACACCAGAATCTCATTTTTCATGCCCTGGATAAAGAAAACATTGAAAAGAATGTAAAATCAGCTTCCACTGCCTCCTGTGAGAAGTTCCAGCACCTCCAGGGAAGGGGCCCACAACTCAATAAAATTTTTAGCAGCACCAACCTCTTGCTCATGTGTGAACCTCATTTATAGGGCAGCTTTGTGGTCAGGAAGCCAGGGATTCAGTTCAGCTGTTTACTACTCCCCTCCCCAAGACCTTCAGAGTGGTCCCCCAGTCATGTTGCCCACCACGTCTTTCTCCTCTGTCTCTCTAACAGAGATAGACTGACCACCTAGAGGAGGAAGCACAAACTGGCCTGAGGCTCTAGTATGCAGAGAGGAAGTATCACCAGCACCACCACCACCCCCATTCTCACCTCTGAGCTTCCCTGCCCCTCAGAGCTCAGGCCCAGCTCAGCCTCCAGTCTCCTGGATGCTTCCTCTTTCTGCTCCCATGTAGCTCTCAGTCCCCCTCCCCCACACAGGGCACACTACCTTAAGCTGCATCTTCTCTGTGCCACCCACAGAGACCCCCAGAACTCCCCGTGGCACTAGCAGGGTTTCCTACTGAAGATGGGCCCAGGGGGCTCAAAGGGACCCTCTATGATGGCCCAGCAGGGGTGTCCATAACCCTCAGGCACTCACAGAACAGACCAGCTCAGCCTCACCTCCAGTCCTGGTCCCTGAGTTGTTCAGAGGCCTTGGGGACTGTCCCTCTAGTCACCACTGGCCTCTAGGCTGAGTCCCCTTATGTCCCCACAGTCACTGAGGAGGAAGGGCCCTCTCTGTAGTGGGCACAACTCAGGATTGTCCATCCAGAAGCAGCATAGCTACTCTGTGGTCCCAGCAGTGCGGGAGGGACACAGGAGCCCAGAAAATCCCAGAGTGGTAACCTGCCCAGTACTCGAACTCCATCTCCCTCCTACACAGAATCCTAGAGGGACGCTCCCAGGATCTAATCTGTGTCTCTTTGATTCTGGGACAGTCTGTGTGTGTGATCACAAGGATCTAGCAGTGGTGCAGCAGGAAAGTGTGGACTTAAAAGGGGTCCTGGGGTCAGTCTCCCCACTCAGAGGAGAGCAAGGCAGGGGGCAGTTTCCTTCTTACTCTGAAAGCAGTAGCAGGCATGTTCTGCCACAGATCTGAGAGACACAAAACCCACCCTCTGTCTGTAGACAGGATCAGAGTCTGACTCTAATGGCCACCACTGGAATACCCAGGACCCACCCTTCCTGCTAGCTCAGCCTGAGCGTTGTGTCAGACTCAGGATGCTGCCCTAGAAGTCAAGGAATTATTCCTTGACACACATTTGTGCTACATTCAGGGATCCAAACAGAAGACTTGAGAGAAAGGATACTGAAGGCCAGATTTGGGCCCCAGAAATGGCCCTGATTTCATCCTAACCAACAAGCTATCCAGGGGATTGAAAAAAAAAAAAAACATAGGGATGCCAGCTCATTCCTTCCATCCTCCACCCTCGGGATGCTCCAGAGACCCTCATGTGTACAACACAGTTCAAGACATTATCTCCTTTGAAGAAAATAGCAGAAGACATTCAGGTCTTCACCTTGATCCTAAACTCTCTGGAGCAAGAGAACTAGAAAGGAGCATGAGTCAGCTCAGCCCCTGTGGGACCGGTCATGTTTTGTTGGTGAAGATTACAGACTAGCCTGCTATGAAGCCTGCCATAATCTCAAAAAATATTTATTTCTCCAATGAGAAACTGTTTTTCCCTTTATTCTTTGCACATTAGCTACTGTGTCTCAGCTGAGAGTCAAATGCTCCTCGGTTGTACTCTGCTCATATTTCTTCACACTGGGTGTCCTGCTTCCTCCATTTGCCACCTTCCACTACCTCCTCCAATGTCATCATTCATCATGCTATGCCTGAGATTGTCTCTTTTCCATAGTCTCTTCTGTCAGTTATAACCTCACATGCAGCTTCGTGTATCCTAGGGGCAAAATCTACCCCCTAAGTTAAGCAGACAGAACCCCTTTCAGTTTGTCTATTGCTTATCATGCTAACAAAGATTCCTGTTAAAGAAGATCCTTGTTGGCCAACCAAGTTATAGATACCTGTTGACTAAGGGAGGGAATCTCAGCTTCATAATCAGACAACACCATCTTTGCTAGGAATCAGTGAACAGCAAACATGTAACAATAAACCAGGTCCAATTTCAGGAGATTCAGAATTAAACAGGACAGTCACTGTCCATGCTATATATATATATATATATATATATATATATATATATATATAAGCACTGTGGGAAAAGCTACAAAACTTTCAGGTTTAAGTCTCGGTCATACAATGATCAAACACCTTTCCCTTCACCAGTACTTATTTTTTACCACCAAGAACCCCAATATACCCACCTCCCACCCTTCCCAGTGCCTGTGAGGCAGATAATTTCTACTTAATTCTCTCTCTACTTTGATTACTTTCATTATTTCGACAAAAGATGCACCATTATTGTTTAGACTTTCCACCCAACAATCAGAACTGCTGCAAAGGCATTGTGAAATAATTTGTTTTCTATAGCTGGTTATGAGAACCATATGAGGTTGCGCAGCTGCGATAGAGGTTGCACAATTTTGGATTTCTGATATTTTACTAATTAAGTCTGGAGGGATTTCTGTCAAGAGCCAGATAATTACGAGATTGATTTCTGTGCCTCTGGAGCCATAGCAGTGATGGAGAGCCGCTCGTCGGGGGGCAACTCGTGACCTCGGTAGAGTGTGAAGGATGCGCTGGTACTGCCCCCCTTCCCATGAGGCTGCAGTTGCCCTGTCACTGCTGGCTCATACCTGGCTTTCCAATAAGCTCTGAGGCGACAGCCACCTTGCTGCCGGGATGGGGGGAGGAGGGAGGTGGAAGGGACAGACACTCTTTCCCTCCCAGGGAGGCATGGCGCCATAGTTTAACGCATAGTTCATTCACTTTTCTGCCACAAACTGCTGGGCTCTGAATTAAGTCCTTGTGCCTCTGGAGCCATGGCCGTGCAGGTCCATGCCTTCTTAATGCCGACAGCCTTAAGGTCTTTCATCACAATGACCTGAAGTTCCTTTCCCTGCCAGGTTGTCAAATCTGCCTGAATCAGTGTGGTAAATGCATGAAAATTAAAAGCATCCTATTCAGGAATATTGAGGGTTATGATCTGGCACTGTCAAATTTTTATGTGCGTTCTCATGTCAGACCCAAAGCAGCAGTGTGGGGAGCTGGGGATGAAGTTTCCCTTCCAGTAGAAGGCAACATCCCGTTCAGGATGAAGGAGCTTTGCAGAGAAGGAAAACACAGCAAGGCAGACATTTCATCAGTTTTCTCATGGGACCTGTGGGTTGAAAGCTCAGTATAAGTCTGACCAGGTATTTCCAGAAATACCATAATGGAGATGGAGGTACATTGTCTCTAAATGGTTCAAGCCCAGCATTGGTCAAAGTATCACTTAATATATTTGAAAACCGGTTAATTATGGTGATTAAAATTACCATCTTTATATTCACTTTGGGCTGGAGTGATAGTACAGTGGGTAGGGCATTTTGCTTGCATGTAGCTGAACCGGGTTTAATTTCTCTGTCCCTGGTGCCTGCTCAAGCTAATCGATGAACAGTAGGACAGTGTTAATATAACTCTGTGTCTTCCCTTATGTCTACCCAGTCACGAGGCTTACACAGTGTCATAAAGGTGGAAAAAAGGCTCCTAGCCCAAGGCCTTGGTGGTTCTTGCCACAACCTTGCTTTGCAAAGTCAGGGTGGCCTAGTGTCACCCCAGCACTTTGGAGGCCAAGCCTGAGATATTAGATTTTTTGTGGATATGGGTCAGAGTAATTAGACCTCCCAGCCTTATTTAGATACCATCACTGGTGCTGTCACAGTTAAGTTTAGGCACAGCTGAATAGTCCCCAACAAAAACACACAGACACCAAAACGAAATTCATTTCCCACAAAGACAATATCTCTCCCTGAGTTGTTGACCTTCAGGGACATGACTTTTCACATCTTTCTATCCACAAAGACAGACCTCTGCAAGCAGAATATCATAAATATCTTGACTATGAGCATAACAAAGGTAGATTAGTTGCCTTCACATATTGTTTGAAACAGAGATACCAAAATCATGCTCAAGAAGTGAAAATAGGGACTAAAATTATATTGTAGCATTGTAGCACTGTCCTCCCGTTGTTCATAGATTTTCTCAATCGGGCACTTCCACTACCTCCTCCAAAGCCATAATTCATCATGCTATGGCTGAGATTGTCCCTTTTTTATATCTCCTCTCTCAGTTATAACCTCACATGCATCTTTGTGTACCCTAGGGGCAAAATCTACCCACTAAGCTAAGCAAACAGAACCCCTTTCAGTTTGTCTATTGCTTATCATGCAAACCAAGCTTCCTATTAAAGATGTTGGCCACCCAAGTAATAGATACCTGTTGAGTAAGGAAAGGAATCTCAGCTGCATAATCAGACAATACCGTCATCATCATCATCATCATCTTCTTCTTCTTCTTCTTCTTTTTCTTCTTCTTCTTCTTCTTCTTCTTCTTCTTCTTCTTCTTCTTCTTCTTCTTCTTCTTCTTCTTCTTCTTCTTCTTCTAGATGTGGAAATAATCTGCCACAAAGGTAGGAGGAGGGGGGGTATACTAGGATTTCTGGTGGTGTAAAATGTGCATTGGTGAAGGGACAGATTTTTCATCATCGTATGACTGAGACTTTAACCTGAAAACTTTATAACTGCTCTCAAGGTGATTCAATAAAAAATTAAAATATATAAATAAATAAAAATAAAATAGACAAGAAAGAAAGCCATGAGGGTGGATGAGTCTTTTTCTAGGTCCATGTCTGCTCCATCTGACACTGGGTTGAGCTCATGTCGGCTATCTCTCACCTTGGTTCTTTCTTTCTACATCTGGTCACTGAGGTTTCTTCTTTGAAACCTCATTAGCTTTCAAAGGGAAGGATGCATCTTCAGTGCATTGCATCGGTCATAGCACAGATAAGAACATAGGCACACAGCTGTCAAAGACTTTAGTTGGATGGACTTGGCAACATGATGATAAAGAAGTGCGAACACATTTTTCTGGGATTCAATAATTCTGGGATGAATATCTCTTGTTACACTCTCCCACTTATTTGTTAGGTTTCCTTTCTGGGCTGGAATAAGTGCTCTGAGGATCCATGTTGACTACTGCTATGGTATGTGTTGCACTCTCCCACAGCTACCTAGGAAATGTCGTCAGCATTGAGGTGGGGAGAATGTATAAAACTATAAAAGGACTCAGGTCCTTTTATAACACCTGAGCAAAGCCATACAACTTTTCTCTCCTAGGTTAGAGAAGAGACCATAGAGGAAGCACAGTGCTGCTAATTGAACACCTTCCTGGGAAGATGCTCCTGCTCCTTCTGCTGAGCTTTGCACTATCCCTCAGGGCAGCGACAGGTGAGTGCCCCTCCCATGCTCAAAGCCTGACATGATCACCAGGGATGTTCTTGCTTCTTCTGAATCTGACTACACATTGTCTACTGGAACATTCTGAACCCACAACCCAGGTCACATGAGTCACTCAAGGATTATGTTGGATTAAAAAAAGAAAAAAGAAAGAAATTGTGGGATGTTCAACTCAAGAAGAGTTGGTGGGCGCTTCTCTCCTGGTACCTGAAGAGAGACAGGGTCGTTCAGGGCCTTGTGCTGTCAAGAAAAACTCTGAACCCTAGACTGCCCCACTGCCCTGAGCCTTCAGTGAAAGCAGCAGGGCCGTTGAGGGGGTACACACAGACACAGACACACACACACACACACACACACAGATACATACCCCTTAAATTTCCTCAGAGGATATCACTGGGGGACAGAAGGTCAAACTGCACTCCCAACCCTACATGGCATATCTGAAGATCTATAGTCAGAAGTATGAAAGATACCGATGTGGTGGGTTCCTGATACAAGAGAACGTAGTGATGACGGCCGCTCACTGTAATGGCAGGTGAGGAGACACACAGCTGTACTCCCCTAGGGCCTCTGGGTGGAGATCTCTTCTACTGCCCAGACACTCCCCAGCTCCAGAGACAGTGAGCCAGAAGAGTCTTCATGGGGAGAGATGGGAAGGTTCCTGAGGAAAGGGCCAGTCAGGTGCAGAGGCTGCAGGAGGGAGTCTGCCCTTCCTACATGTTGACACCCAGAGGCAAAAAATACCATTTCACTTTTGCTGGTTCCTCTCACCCTGGAAACTTTCAGTACAGGGGCCATTTGTTCCACCAAACTCTCAGCTGCTGAGAATCAGAGCTCCCAACGTAGTCCCTGTCCCTTGAGGTCCTTAAACTGACCCTCTGCTGCAAACCAACTTGCTGAGCTCTGTTTCTGTGACCATACATCCTGTGTGCTCTTTGTGCAGAAAAATAAAGGTGATCCTGGGTACCAACAACATTGGCAAAATATGGAATTGGCCCAGGAAGTTCTCTGTGAAAAAAACCATCCCTCATGAGGGCTATAACAAAGATACTCACTCCAATGATATCATGTTGCTGAAGGTAAGAAAGTGCTGAAACTAACTTGTTCTTAATCCATTTACCCCAACATCTGTGCCCTACTTGCTATCCAATGCCAGTAATTTCTAGTGACTGACGAAGACTAAGACATGCATCCCATGTGGGAGTTGAGGGCCAGGAGCGGCAGAGTGAGTGGGACCCTTTCTTTCTCTCCACACAGCTGAATAAAAAGGTCAAGCTGAAAAACAAAATAAATATTCTGAGCCTGCCAGATCCACAAATCTGCCTGGAGCCAGGATAGTGGTGCAGTGTGGCTTGTTGGGGACGAACTGCCCTCAGGGGAAAGTTACCTAAGACACTGATGGAGGTAGAGCTGAAAGTCCAAAAGGAACAGACATGCAAAAGAGTCTACAAAAATTACAACTCTATCACTCAGCTGTGTGTAGGAGACAAGAACGGAAAGGATTCCATGGAGGTGAGATCAAGTCACTGCCAAACTTGACTCTGGAGACAGGGCAGATTGGGGAACAGTGAAAGACAAGTCAATGAACAGTGGGGACCCCCTCATCCTCTGGGGTGATTCTCTCTAGCAGGAAAAGAGGGCCACCTGTTCAGGAATAGCCAGACCTCTGTCAGCCTTCAAGGGCCTTTGGGGATGGCACATGGGGTCTCACAGAAAGAATCTCACAATCTGAGCAGACGCTGGGTGGGGTGTCCCTCATCATTTGGAAAAGCCAAGTGGATATCATAGTTAGTCTTACCAGATTATTATCTGACGCCCCCCACACTGAGTGAAATCCACTGATTGTTCCCAGACCCAGCAGGAAATGGCCTCAGTCCTGGGGAGAGGCAAAGGAAGCAGACCTCTGGGGTGAAGTACCCTGACAATGTCCAGGATCAGCCCCGAACAGTTGGCCCTTGGCCTGCCTACTTTTGCCTGGGGCAGGAAAAGACAGACCAATCCTTTCCTCACCTCCACAGGAAGACTCTGGGGGTCTTCTTGTGTGTGACAACATAGCTCAGGGCATCGTGTCCTATGGAGATAAAAATGGAATTCCTCCTGGCATCTACACCAGAATCTCCTTTTTTGTGCCCTGGATAAAGAAAACATTGAGAAGAATGTAAAACCAGCTTCCAATGCCTCCTGTGAGAAGTTCCAGCACCTCCTGGGGAGGGGCCCACAACTCAGTAAAATGTTTAGCAGCATCAACCTCTTGCTCATGTGTGAGCCTCATTTATAGGGCAGCTCTGTGCTCAGGAGGCCAGGGATGCAGTTCAGATGTTTACTTGTCTCCTCCGCAGCCCTGCAGAGTGGTCCCTCATTCATGTTTACCACCCACATCTATCTCCTCTGTCCCTCTGCCAGGGACAGACTCACCACTGAGAAGGAGGAAGCACAGACTGGCCTGACGCTCATGGGAGCCTCTCTACTTCCCCTGTTGTATTCAGAAAGTATCACCATCTCCCCGGCACTGGGCCCCCACCATCCTCATTCTCACCTCTGAGAGCTGAGTCCCAGGTGCTTCCCTGCCCCTCAGAGCTCAGGTTCAGCTCAGCCTCCAGTCACCCAGATGCTTCCTCTTCATGCTCCCATGTAGCTTTCAGTCCCCCTCCCCCATCCAGGGCACACTGCCCTAAGCTGCCTCTTCTCTGTGCCACCCACAGAGACCCTCAGAACTCCCTCCTACACAGAGTCCTAGAGGGATGTGCCCAGGATCCAATATGTGTCTCTCTTTGATGATGGGACAGTTTGAGTGTGTGATCACAAGTATCTAGAGCAGTGATGCAATAGGGAAGTGGGGCTTCAAAACAGTTCTGGGGTCAGTTTCCTCCTTCAGAGAAGAACAAGGCAGGGAATAGCTTTCTTTCTGCCATGGAAGCAGCAACAGGCATGTGCTGCTACAGATCTGAGGGACAGGAAACCCACCCTGTCTTTAGACGGGTCAGAATCTGACTCTAATGGCCGCCAATGGCAGAGACAGGACCCCCCTTTCCTGCTAGCTCCACCTGAGCACTGCCAGACACAGGATGATGGCCTAGAAATCAAGGAATGATTCCTTAGACACACATTTGTGCTACATTAGGACTCCAAACAGGAGACTCAAGGGAAAGGACACTCAAGGCCAGATTTGGGCCCCTGTAATGGCCCTGATTTTCTCCTAACAAGCTATCCAGGGGGTGGGAAAAATAAGACCATAGGAATACCAGCTCATTCCTTTCCTCCTCCACCCTCGGGATGCTCCATGGGACCCTCCTGTGGACAACACAGATCAAGACACTATCTCTTAAAAAAAATATGTCAGAAGACATCCAGGTCTTCACCTTGATCCTAAACTCTTTGGAGCAAGAAAACCAGAAAGGAGCATGAGCCAGCTCAGCCCCTCTGGGACTGTACATTTTTTGTTAGTGAAGATTCCAGACTAGCCTGCATGAAGGCTGAAACGAGTTCAAAATATATTTATTTCTCCAATGAGAAACTGTTTCCCTTTACTCTTTGCCCATTAGCTACTCTGTCTCAGCTGTGAGGCAAATCCAATGCTGTTCCACTCTGCTCATATTTATACAAACCAAGTTTTCTGCTTCCTCCTCTTTGCCACCTTCCACTACCTCCTCCAAAGCCGTCAATCATCATGCTATGCCTGAGATTGTCCCTTTTTCATATCTCTTGTGTCAATTATAACCTCACATGCAGCTTCATGTACCCTAGGGGGAAAAATCTACCCCCTAAGCTAAGCAGACAGAACCCCTTTCAGTTTGTCTATTGCTTATCATGCAAACCAAGCTTCCTGTTAAAGAAGATCCTTGATGCCCACCCAAGTAATAGATACCAGTTTAGCAAGGAAAGGAACCTCAGTTGCATAATCAGACAACACTGTGTTTGCAGTAACAGCAAATATATAACAGTCAACCAGAACCAAGTGCAGGAGTATTAGAAGTAAACAGGACAGTCATTGTCCATGCCTTCTTAATGCCTTCTTAATGCTTCATGACTTTCATCACAACGGACTGAAGTCCCTTTCACTCCCAGATTGGTCAGATCAGCTTGAATCAGTGTGGTAAATGGATGCAGAAGAAAAACATCCTGTTCAGGAATAATGAGGGTTATGAGTCTGGCACTGTCCAATTTTTATGTTCATTGTCATGTCTGGCCCAAGGCAGCAGTGTGTGGGGCTGGAGATGAAGTTTCCCTTCCAATAGAAGACAGCATCCCATTCAGGATGAAGAAGCTTTTTAGAGAGGGAAAACACAGCAAGGCAGCCATTTCATCAGTTTGCTCTCGGGGAACTGTGGGTTGAAAGTTCAGTATAATCTGACCAGTATTACCAGAAATACCTTAATGGAGATGGAGGTATATTGTCTCTAAATAGTTCAAACCCAGTGTTGGTCTAAGAATAACTTAATATACTGGAAAACTGGTTAATTATGGTGATTAAAATTCCCATCTTTACATTCACTGTGGGCTAGAGCGATAGCATAGTGGGTAGGGCGTTTTCCTTGCACGAGGCAGGCCCAGGTTCGAATCCTCCGTCCCCGGTGCCTACTCTAGCAAATTGATGAACAATAGGAGGACAATATTAACATAGCTCCATGTCTTCCCTTATGTTTACCCAGTTAGAAGGCTTACACAGTGTCATAAAGGTGGAAAAAAGGCTCCTAGCCCAAGGCCTTGGTGGTTCTTGCCACAGCCTTGCTTTCCAAAGTCAGGGTGGCCTAGTGTCACCCCAGCACTTTGTTTGGAGGCCAAGCCTGAGATATCAGATTCTTTGTGAATATGGGTCAGACTAATAAAACCTCCCAGCCCTATTTAGACACCAATCAATGATGCTGTCACAGTTAAGTCTAGGAACAGCTGAATATTCCACAACCAAAAACACACAGACACCAAAACGAAACTCATTTCCCACAAGGACAATATCTCTCCCTGAGTTGTTGACCTTCCGGGATGTGACTTCTCACATCTTTCAGTCCACAATGACAGACATTTGCGAGCAGAACTTTATACAGATCTTGACTATGAGCATAACAAAGGTAGATTAGTTGCCTTCATATATTGTTTGAAACAGAGATACCAAAATCATGCTCAAGAAGTGAAAATAGGGACTAAAATTATATTATATCACTGTAACACTGTCCTCCCATTGTTCATCAATTTGCTCGATTGGGCACCAGTAACATCTCCATTGTGAGTCTTGTTACTGTTTTTGGCATATCAAATTCACCAAGGGGAGCTTTCCAGGCTCACCGTGCAGGCATGATACACTCAGTAGCTTGCCGGGCTCTCCGAGTGGGACAGAGTAATTGAACCCGGGACAGCTGCATACAAGGCAAACGCCCTACCCACAATGCTATCACTCCAGCAAAAAGTGAATGTAAAGATGGCAATTTTAAACACCATAATTAACCAATATTCAAGTATATTAAATTACTCGTAGACCAATACCGGGCTTGGACTTTTTAGAGACAATGTATCTCCATATCTATTATCAACATTATGGATATGAACCTACTCAGCGCCAGGACTGCTGAATAATAAATGTGGGGAAAGACTAGTTCTGGGTATTTGGTGGCCTAGCATACATCTACACCTCACATCTATCAGAAGTTTAAAACTCAGAACTTTTCTTGGAATCAAACTCTGCATCAAGGAGAAGCCTGGCTTAAGTTCTCTGGATTAAACATTAGGATCACATGTTTCCCAAATCGATGAAACATTGATCTGAGAGGTGATATTCCGTCATTCTTGGCATTTATATAGTAATAAAGTTGTTAAAATTCCCAAGAAGGAAGACATAATGGTGCATGAGTCTTTCTGGGTTGATGTCTGCTCCATCGGTCACTAAGTTTCTTCCATTCTAGACATGAGCTGGGTTGAACTCATGCCGACTATCTCTCACCGTGGTTCTTTCTTTCTACATCTAGTCACTAAGAGTTCTTCGTTCCCCACAACATCAGCTTTCAAGGGGAAGGATGAATCTTCATTACATTGCATCAGTCATAGAACAGACAAGAACATACTGTTTTGGGCATATCAAATACACCAAGGGGAGCTTGCCAGGCTCACCGTGGCAATACACACAGCTCTCAAAGATTCTAGTTGGATGTACTTGGCAACATGATGATAAAGAAGTGCAAACACAGGTTTCTGGGATCCAATAATTCTGGGAGGAATACCTCTTGTTGCACGCCCCCACGTATTTATTAGGATTCCGTTCTGGGCTGTAACAAGTGCTCTGAGGTTATAGTTGGACTTCTACTATGGTATGTGTTGCAATAGCCCACAGGAAGTGTTGTCAGCATTGAATTAGGGAAGATGTATAAAACTAGAAAAGAACTCAGGTAACAGCAAAGCCACACAACTTTTCTCTCCTAGGTTAGAAAAGAGACCATAGAGGAAGCACAATGCTGCTAACTGAACACCTTCCTGGGAAGATGCTCCTGCTCCTTCTGTTCAGCTTTGCACTGCCACCCAGGGCACAGACAGGTGAGTGATCTTTCCATGCTCAAAGCCTGACCTGCTCACTGGGGATGCTCCTGCTTCTTCTGAATCTGACTATCCATTCTCTCCTGGAACACTCAGAACCCACATCCCAGGTCACATGAGTCCCTCAAGGATTATGTTAGATTAAAAAAGAAAGAAAAAGAAATGGTTGGAGGCTCAACTCAAGAAGAGTTCGTGGCACTACTCTCCTGGTACCTGAAGAGAGACTGGGCTATTCTGGGATGCCTCTGGAACAGATGCTGGGGTTGATGGGAGGTGGGAGTATAGGAGAATCTGGGACATAATAGACTCCATAGTAGGTGACATTGCTATTCCCAAAGGTCTGTTTCTGCTTGGCTCTGTTCCAAGGCCCTTCAATGCCTCTCATTATTTCTGTTCTCCTTCCAGGCACTGAGCAGTGCCTCCTTGTCAAAGATGGACAAGTTTAACAGATCCAACCCTTCTCCTTTGAATCACCTCCACAGATAACTCGAACCTTCCTCAAGGCCTTCTTCAATGACCGCCAACCTAGAGGTCATTCCTACAGAATCCCCCACTAACAGAGCACCCGCTATGTTCACATCAGGAGTAAGCTGAACCACAATCAGCCCCTGACCTCATTCTCCCTCTAGAAAGATGTTCCTGCTGTACATCACAAAATCAGAGATCTCAGAATCTAGCCAAGAGAGCAATGTCAGGAACCCCCAGACTCCGTAGTCCCTAAGACATATATCTTCCTCCCATTCTTTGTGAACAAACTCACTAGCAGAGCTTCTGCTCATCCACTTTGTGTGTGTCCACTAGGATGGAATGGGATGTGAAGCTCACCCTGCCAACAAAAACTCTGAACCCCAGACTACCCTGCTTGCCTGAGCCTTCAGTGAAGGCAGCAGGGACACTGAGGGGGTGCACACACACACACACAACTGACATTTCCTCAGGAGATATCATTGGTGGACATGAGGCCAAACCGCACTCTCGACCCTACATGGCATTTCTGAGGATCTATCGACAGAAGTCTAAAAGATACCGATGTGGTGGGTTCCTGATAGAAAAGGATGTGGTGATGACTGCTGCTCACTGTAATGGCAGGTGAGGAGACACACAGCTGCACTCCCCTGGGGTCTCTGGATGGATACCCCTGCTTCTGCCCAGAGACTCCCCAGCTCCAGGGACAGTGAGCCAGAAGAGTCCTCATGGGGAGAGGTGAGCAGGTTCCTGGGGACAGAGCCAGTCTGTGCAGAGGCTGAAGGGTTTCTGCCCTACCTACACGTTAGTACCCAGAGCTGAACAATGTCATTTCATGTTTTGCTGGCTCCACTCACCCCTGGGAACCACCAGTACAGGAACCATTTGTAACACCAAACAAACCTCTCAGTTGCTGAGAATCAGATATCCCAATGTAGTCCCCTGTCCCTTAAGGTTCTTAAACTGGACATTTGATGCAAACCCACTTGCTGAGCACTGTCTCTGTGACCATGCACCCTGTGTGCTCTTTGTGCAGAAAAATTGAGGTGATCCTGGGTACCAACCTCATTGGCAAAACAGCGAATTGGTTCAGGAATATCTCTGTGCGTGCAATCTTCCCTCATGAGGGCTATGATAAAAATACTAGCTCCAATGATATCATGTTGTTAAAGGTAAGAAAATGAAATTTACTGGCTCTGGATCCCTGATTCCCTCCCACTGACATCTGTGTCCCTCCTGCTATTTAGTGACTGTCATTTCTGGTGGCTGACGAAGACTAAGACTAAGACATGCACCACATGCAAGGGTTGAGGGCAAGGATCTGTGGATTGAGGTCAACACTCTCTCTCTTTCTCTCTCTTTCTCTCTCTCTCTCTATATATATATCTCCTCTCATCAAAGTTGGATGAAAAGGTCAAGTTGTCAGAAAAAATAAAGCTCCTGAAACTGCCAGATACACAAACCCGCCTGAAATCAGGAAAGTGGTGCAGTGTGGCTGGTTGGGGACGAATCTCGCTCTGGAAAAAGTTACCTGAAAAACTGATGGAGTTGGAGGTGAAAGTACAAAAGGAAGAGGAGTGCAAAATAAAGTACAAAAATTACAACTATACAACTCAACTGTGTGCAGGAGACAAGAAAGGAGAGAATATCATGAAGGTGAGATCCAGTCACTTCCAAACTTGACTCTGGGGACAGGGCAGATTGGGGAGCAGTGGAGGCCTTCTCACTGAGGTTGGGACCCCTCATCCTCTGGGGTGATTATCTCTAACAGGGAAAGAGGACCACCTGGCGAGGAAGAGCCAGAACTCTGTCAGCCTTCAAGGGCCTTTGGGGATGGCACACAGGGCCTCCCAGAGAGAATCCCACAGTCTGAGCACAGGCTGGGTGGGGTGTCTCTCGTCAATTGGTAAGGCCAAGTGGATGTAAGAGTTAGTCCCACCAGGTTATTATCTGATGCCCCCCACACTGAGTGAAACCCACCATTTTTCCCAGACCAGGCAGGAAACGATCTCATCCAGGGGAGGGGCAAAGGAAGCAGGCCTCTGGGGTGAGGTACCCTGTAAATGTCCAGGGTCAGCCCCTGACAGCTGGGGCCTGGCCTGCCTGCTTTTGCCAGGGGCAGGAGGATACAGACCAATCCTTCCTTCACCTCCACAGGGAGACTCCGGGGGTCCACTCGTGTGTGACAATGTAGCTCAGGGCATCGCATCCCGTAAAAAAAAAAATAATATTCCTCCAAGCATCTACACCAGAATCTCCTTTTTTCTGCCCTGGATAAAGAAAACTCTGAAAAGAATGTAACTTCCTCTTCCAATGCCTCCTCTGAGAAGGTTCAGCACCTCTTAGGGAGGGGCCCAAAACTCAGTAAAATATTTAGCAGCATCAATCTCTTGCTTCTGTGTGAGCCTCATTTATAGGGCAGCTCTGTGCTCAGAAGGCCAGGGATGCAGTTCAGATGTTTACTTTTCCCCTCCCCAGGCCCTGAGAGTGGTCCCACAGTCATGTTGCCCACCCACATCTGTCTCCTCTGTCCCTTTAATAGTGATAGACTGAGCACCAAGGAGGAGGAAACACAAAATGGTCTGAGGCTCAGGGAACTTCCCTTGGTGTATGCAGAGAGGAAGTATGACACTAGCCCCACCATGCCCACTCTCACTTCTGAGAGCTGAGTCCCAGGCCCTTCCCTGCCTCTCTGAGCTCAGGCCCAGCTCAATCTCCAGTCTCCTGGATGATTCCTCTTCCTGCTTCCATGAAGCTCTCAGTCCCACTCCCCCACACAGGCACACTTCCCTAAGCTGCCTTTTCTCTGCCACCCACAGAGACCCCCCCCAGAACTCCCTGTGGCACTAGCAGGGTTTCCTACTGAGGATGGGTCTCAAGGGGTTCATAGCGAGCCTCTAATATGGTCCATCAGGGGTGTCCATAACCCTCAGGAACTCACAGAACAGACCAGCTCGGCCTCACCTCAAGCCCTGGTTCCTGAGTTGTTCAGGGGCTTTGGGGACTGTCTCTCTTGTCACCACTGCCTCTAGGGTGAGTCCCCTGCTGTCTCCTCAGTCTCTGAGGTGGAAGGACCCTCTCTATAGTGGGCAGGACTCAGGATTGTCCATCAGCAACAGTGCAGACACTCTGTGGCCCCAGTAGTGGGGAAGGGACAGAGGAGCCCAGCAAGTCCCAGAGTGAAACCCGCCCAGTCCTCAGGCTCAGTCTCCCTCCTACACAGAGTCCTAGCGGGATGCACCCGGGGTTCCATATGTGTCTTTGTTTGATGCTGGGACAGTGTGTATGATCACATGGATCTAGAGCAGTGGTGCAACAGGAAAGTGGGGCCTTCAAAACGGTCCTGGGGTCAGCCTCCCCACTTAGAGGAGAGCAAGGCAGGGGGCAGTTTCCTTCCTGCCCTGGAAGCAGCAGCAGGAATGTGCTGCTACAGATCTGAGTGACACGAAACCCACCCTCTGTCTTTAGACGGGTCAGAGACTGACTCTAATGGCCATCACAGGCAGACACAGGACCACCCTTCCTACTAGCTAGGCCTGAGCACTGTTAGATTCAGGATGCTGGCCTAGAAGTCAAGGAATGACTCCTTAGACAAACATTTGTGCTACATTCAGGGATCCAAACAGAAGACTCAAGGGAAAGAAAACTCAAGGCCAGATTTGGGCCCCAGAAATGGCCCCTGATTTCCTCCTAACCAACAAACTACCCTGGAGGTGGGTAAAACAAGACCATAGGGATGCCAGCTCATTCCTTCCCTCCTCCACCCTCGGGATGCTCCAGGGACCCTCATGTGGACAGCACAGTCCAAGACATTATCTCCTTTGAAAAAAAAGACATCCGGTCTTCACCTTGATCCTAAACTCTTTGGAGCAGGAGAATCAGAAAGGAGCACAAGCCAGCTGAACCCCTCTGGGACTGGACACTTTTTGTTAGTGAAGATTCCAGACTAGCCTGCCATGAAGGCTGACACGAGTTCGAAACATATTTATTTATTGAATGAGAAACTGATTCCCTTTATTCTTTGCACATTAGCTACTGTGTCTCAGCCGTGAGCCAAATCCAACGCAGTTCCACTCTGCTCATATTTATACACACCAAGTTTTCTGCTTCCTCCTCTTTGCCACCTTCTACTATTTCCTCCAAAGCCGTCAATCATCATGCTATGCCTGAGATTGTCCTTTTTTCATATCTCTTGTGTCAATTATAACCTCACATGCAGCTTTGTGTACCCTAGGGGGGAAATATACCCCCTAAGCTAAGCAGACAGAACCCCTTTCAGTTTGTCTATTGCTTATCATGCAAACCAAGCTTCCTGTTAAAGAAGATCCTTGATGCCCACCCAAGTAATAGATATCTGTTTAGTAAGGAAAAGAACCTCAGCTGCATAATTAGACAACACTGTATTTGCAGTAACAGCCAAGATGTAACAGTCAACCAAAAGCAAGTGCAAGAGTTTTAGAAGTAAACAGGACAGTCATTGTCCATGCCTTCTTAATGCTGACAGCCTTCATGACTTTCATCACAACGGACTGAAGTCCCTTTCACTCCCAGATTGGTCAGATCAACTTGAATCAGTGTGGTAAACGGATGTAAATGAAAAGTATCCTGTTCAGGAATAATGAGGGTTATGAATCTGGCTCTGTCCAATTTTTATTTGCAACATGATGTCTGACCCACTGCTGACCCAAGGCAGCAGTGTGTGGGGTTGGAGATGAAGTTTCCCTTCCAACAGAAGACAGCATCCCGTTCAGGATGAAGGAGAATTTCAGGGAGGGAAAACACAGCAAGGCAGCCATTTCTTCAGTTGGAGGAGACCTGTTTGTTGAAAGTTCAGTATAGTTCTGACCAGAGATTACTAGAAATACCATATCTCCTTGTCTTCCCTTATGTCTACCCAGTCAGGAGGTTCACACAATGTCAGAAAGGTGGATAAAAAGGATCCTAACCCAAGCCCTTGGTGGTTCTTGCCACAGCATTGCTTTCCATAGTCACAGTGGCCTCAGAGTCACCCCATCACTTTG